AAGTAGTGTAGCGCTTCAGTAAGAGATACTGGAAAGGGATCAAACTTACTTGGTTGTCTTTGCTGTTGAGGAACATAATTCTGCCTTTGTTGTTGAGGAATATTAATAGGAATAGAAACATCGTTGACTTGTTGGTGCTGACGATCTCCACCTCTTCCCCTATGAGAATACATTGCACTTGTATCACCCTCATTTTTCTTAGGGTAAACATTGAACGGCTTCTTACCACCCCCTCCTGATGATCCACTGAAATTGCCAACTTGAATCTTTCCCATTTTCGAACCCACTTCAATCCTTTCACCAGCCATCACCAATTTTGCAAATACTGCTGAAGCACTTCCTATTATATGATCATAATAAGGCCCTTACAGAGTAATCATAAACATATCAATAAGTTCCCACTCCATGAGCAGAGGTTGAACCCTTGCAGCCAATTCACGCCATTTTTGGGCGTACTCTTTGAAATATTCCTTTGGCCCATGTGTCAAACTCTGTAGCTGAGTGCGATTAGGTGTCATATCCACATTATACTGGTAGTGTTTGACAAAAGCACGGGCAAGATCATTCCAACATTGAATATGAGTTTTTTCCAACTTCATGTACCATTCTAGAGATGCCCCAGATAGGTTATCCTAAAAATAACAAATCAATAGCCCTTGATCTTTGGTATGAACCGACATCTTTCTGAAATAATAAGTAGCATGAGTAACGGGACATGACGAACCATTATACTTTTCAAACACTGGAGGTTTAAACTTAGGGGGAATCTTCACCTCAGACACCAACCCGACATCATTGGCATCCATGTCAAGGACTCCTTATCCTCCCACAACTTTTAGTCGTTTTCCAACAGCAGATACCTTATATCCTCAACTTGAACTTCTTTCTCAGAACGCGTACAGAAAACTGATCTTCATCTTGATCATAGTCATAGTCTTGCTCATGATAGTTCCTTACACCCTTATTATCTCTTAGGTTACCCATAAGACGGGGTCTTGGAGATAGAGTAAATTTCCCCATGTTATCGATGCGCATAAAAGGATTGTCAGGAGGCCCGTGAAGATTCACAAAAGGTTGGTCCTACACATCCCCTATTCCAACGGAAATTTCTTGATAAAGCCAATGATTACCACCATCTACCTGATTGTGGTGTTGATTGTTGATGAGAGCAACCAACTCATCATGTCGGTGATTCACATTGGTAATAGCTTCCATAAATTGCATCATTTAGGTAGCCATCAAAGCCCTCATCTCAACCAATTCTACCTGAATTTGATCCATCTGTCTTTTGGAAGTACTTCGAGTGTTGTAACAGTGTGAGTTTTAGTAGCAATTTCTGAAAAGAAAACCCATATCGAAGATAAGAAAACCTGTGGGAATTACTTGTCATGATATGATATGCATGGATGATCATGCATGAATTTTTTTATCATTTCAAGGGAAATCCAAGATTTTTCATCAAAAATAAAAGACATGAAGATATAAACAAATTATCATCAAAGAAAGAGTTTGCTCATATGAAAAGAATAAACCATCCATACAAACATATCTCAATAATAAATTCATACAAACCAAGTCAAAAGGAACCCGTCCAACAAAATTGGTGGTGATCCTTAAAAATATAAACAAAAAATGAAAACTACTGTCGAACTCCAAATCGAGCTTTGAGCCTTGCTAATTCTTCAATTACTTGATCCAACTGAGCACCTATCCCCTTCAACTGGTCTTCAGCGGCTATCTTTTGATCATCTTTTTTCTTGAGCTGAACCTTAAGTTCGTCAATTTGCACTTGTCGATCTTGAACCTGTTGTTCAAAACTCTCTTGCTACTTTCAAGCTTTTTGAGATTTGGATTCTTCTTCTAAAAGCTGCTTCTTCAAAATTTTGATTTCTTCTATGTGATTGACTTGCATTATGTCTTTGGATACCCGGAGACTCACAAGCTTCTGCTGACTTTTCATGAGATTGTCTTGGACTTTCACCAAAGCTTCTGTCTGATTAGAAGTGCGGGAATTTTCATCTCTTGGTCTTTTCACACTTTCCAACAAACCGAGCTCTTCCAACACTTTATCCTTCAGTTTGGCTTCATGAAGCATTTTCCTCTTCTCTTGCTCAATAAAAGAAAATTCCATGTTCTGCTCTTGCCTTTCCAATTCCAACTTGAGGCTATCCGTTTTAACCTGCCTATATAATTCAATGGGCACAAACTTGGGTACATATGGAATCATTGCTTAAGGAAGTGATGGGTCTCCAGCAACATCCAGTGTCGATTGGCCACCAACTATGGTATTAACAGTAGGCTGTAAGTACATCGGCGCTTCCCTCCTATATGGCAATAGTATTTTCTTCACTCGATCTTAGGCCTATTTCACGTATAGATCAAGGGATAGAGATCCTCTCTGACTAAAGAAATCAGTCCATTGTTGATGAATAAGACTCCAAGCTTCTCTCATCCATGCTAGTAAAACAGGTTCTTCACCTTTTCCGAAATAAATGGTTTCCTTTACTTCGCGATCAATAGGATTATCAGTCATAATGTACCCTAACTGACGTCGTGTTAGGATAGGATTATAATTGATACAACCTTTAGTCCCCATTAGTGGCACATTAGGAAAGGTTCCACAGTTTGTAAGTATTTCTCTCACGCCTCTTATGTTATTCCAGACAACATCATAAGAAGTGAGAGCCATAATCCTTCGCGACCAGAAGAGAGTATCTGCAAAATCAACAACAGGTCCTTTGGTAGGCATATGCATCATAAACCATTTGTAAAGAAGAGGAATGCAACATAAAACATACCCTTTCTTTCCATTTCGAGAATAAATGGCATACTAGGTGTCATACAGAATTGTCGGTACGATATTTCTATACATGAAGACACAGATTGATGCGAAGTCCATGAAACCCTCCATATTGGGGAATATGACAGTACTATAGATCATGGTGACCAACTGCGCGTTGAACGCGGCCCAATTCCTATTTTCTGCGAACTCTTTAGCCTTGGATATCAAGAAAAATAGATGAAAACCTGGCGTATTACTCTTTTTGGTGTAATTATTCCTTACTTTGCTCAGGCCCAAATAAAGTGCCCTAGCGATAGCAGTATAATCGGGAACTTCTGGTACACAGGCAAAAGGAAAGCAGTTAGTAATCTCAATACCCAGAATATAAGCATATTCTTTGAGTGTCTGCTCTAGATGATAATCCTGGAATGTAAAGCAACGTAATTATGGATCATAAAATTGCAACAACGATACCATAGCCCATTTTTCATATCCATTATTCAACAACGGCAACAAGTTCCCGTATCGATCTCGAAAAATATTCTCATTTGGCCCAGTCACAAGAAAACCCACCTCTCTCAGTGGAGCCAAAGCAAATCCACAAAAATTATAGCAAGATGTCTTCTTATGCAACTATTTTCCTATACCTATGCTATTATCCATTCCTGATGAAAAAACGATCTCAGATTAACCTGGAAATGGTATGCACATGCAGAATAGTTTTTTCTACATATATTATTGTTTTTTTTTTCATACATTTTTTTGTAAAAAATAAATATGCTATAATGAAAGTGCAAGACTTATGGAATCAATGCTTCCACCAAACTGGTTGTTGTCATGTCTCTGAACATAAAATGAATACCAGAACAAAATTCTGGAACATAACCGCAGAACTGAAGAACCAGAGTCATTAACAGAACAACACGATCACCATCAGAACGTAGTCACCATCCGTACCTGTTGTAATACTCCAATTTTTAACCTAAGATCCCACCTTCATTTGCATTCTCATATATCATCAAGGTCATGAGTTACACTTGGTTTTTAACCCTTTCACCTTCGAGCATTGCTTATGTATAGATTATCAAGTGTTGCGAACATCTTATCTGATGCATCACTAACATCTAATCAAATACTGAGGTGTGTGCTTTTGTTTCTTTGGTGCAGAGAAATGTCTGAATCAAGAGCGTCAGGTGTTACGCCTCAATTAAGGTTTTGGATCTCTCAAGTGTTCAAGTATGGCGAATCACCAATTCTCAAAGTCTACTTTATCAAAGCTTGGCCTATAATAAAAAACATAGTCAAGATTCCATCATCACTGGTTCAGATGTGCATCAATATTTCTTGGAATGCAAAGAAAGACCAAGTTTGTAAGTTGATTCAAAGCACTTTGACCAAAAGTCAATGTTTGCACATTCAAGTTCAAACGATCATAACTTCTACATTATTCAATATTTTTTAGTGTTTCTTTTTGCGTATGACTCTCCTTGACATCATCTCCAACTTCTCTTTACAAGTCAAGATCTGATTATGTGCGGAGGATCATCAAAAGTACGAATACTTTAGGGTCATTCTGTGGAATTTAACCTAATCTCAAAATAGTTGTTCCCAACACTCAAGGATCATAACTTCTTTGATTCTTGACATTTTGAGGCGATTCTTTTTGCACATCCTCATGAGTGATGTCTTCTATAAGTTCTCTTCAACGATCGAGTTAATTTTGCATAAAAGATCATGAAAATTATTGAAAACGTTATGGGTCATTTTGTGACATAGAATGTTCTTAACTTCTAGGTTTCAATTTATTCCATAAATGTTTTATATAGCCCTTGAATCTCATTATGAGATCATTCTTTAAGAAAGATATCGAGTTCGAGGATTCTTTGATTTAATTGTTGTATTTCAAGTCATTTGTGTTTGAACACTGGCAATTATTGGATTAAAGCAAATTTTCGACCAAATATCTTAAGTTGCTTTGAGTTTCCATTGGAAACAATTTGAATATTCACTCAAGGAATGTCCATTTTCAATTTTAAGCTCCATTCATGTGGATAATTTTGAACCATATATTATTTCAATTCATAATCATTTCAAATTCAAGAATCAATTCAAGTTACTAATACCATGAGTTCATCAAGAGAATTCCGCTGAAGTTGTCTTTTCATTCAAGTTTCCAAGGTCACATAGATTTCAAGTCTAAACTTTGAATAAATTCATTATGTTACAATACTTGTTAAGTCTAATGTTACAAGGTCATTTAGGAATTCGGAATTCAAGTTACAACATGTTACATATAAACTCAAGATACAAAAGAGTCTCAAAATTCCCAAAGTCTAAATTGAAAAGGATCTTGAATCATGCTTCAACATCTCTTCATGTCCAAACAAAAATTCTAGTGTCTTATCTTGCTGTCCTGCTATTCATGCTTAAGCCCCTGCTCTGAACCTGTCCATAAAGCTCCAAAATGCTACTGTTCAAAATACAAGTTATTGTCCCAACCTATAAAAACCTGTTATAACAAACCTGCAAGCAGCCTTGCACTAATATACAAATTTGTTGTCCAAAAACAAGTCACAAACCAATGCAACTCCTGAGAAAAAAAATCGTGCCACATCCTTGTCAAGACCATGCTAGGAATGCAGTCCTTAAGACTACAAAAAACCCTGCTGCACCAATCCCTATCCCTGCTAAAACCTACAACATAACAGTCCAGTAATTACACAAAAATAAATTAAACCAAAACTGCATCAACAAAACCATTACAACAGGCCATTATATTGGTTCAAATTTCTCCCTCCAATTTCACTGATGTTTGGCTATAAGACGGTAGGAAAGGGGGACAGAAAAGGGAAGACAGAAATAAAGAAGAGAAAAATTGAAGAGAGAGAGAGAGAGACCAGTAGAAAAAAAATAGAAAAGTACCTCTATTTTTCAGTCAATAGGATCTTCAATACACCCTGTATATTTAAAAAAACAACAAATCTCTGCATATTCTTCAACCCTCTAAAAAATCGTCATCCTTGAACTCACTCTCTGCAACAACCATACTCACTGTAAAGACCCTTCAAACTCAAGTCCACACCTTCAACAAACCTTCAATAATCATTATTCAAGAATCATCCATAAAATCTCTCTTCAACTTCACCCTGCAGATATTAAAAATGCACAGAAAATCTACACAAAAACAACCAAAAATTTCATAGAAAGTGTCTACCTCAACCTCACTCCAAACGATCTCAGAATTTTTCAACACAACCTTAATTCAGAACCACCTGCATCAGACAACAACAACAACTCAAAAGCATTCAAAACATATAACAACCAAAATTCGGAATGCATAAGAGTTGAAGAGAAAAACTGAAACAAACAGAACATAGATTTTCAACCGAGTCACCTTGTTTTCATTGTTTTTTGCAGATTAAGTATTTGGTTGGAAAAAAAGAAAGAAGTGGAAACATTATTGCAAAGACAAAGGGATTTTACCACCCTCCATACAGAAATCTCTGAAATCGTTCAAACGCGACGCAAAATCTGGAACATTCAGATTTCCTCGCCGTGATCACATTTTCCGAAGAATTCACGAACATCGCATTATGCATAACTCTATTATCCGCCTACAACACAGTCGCACGACCTTCCTCCATACAAATAAATCGCATCTCCGCCAATAACATCTTCGACTTTACTCTCTATAATGCCTTATCGTTTGAATGCTTGTGTTTCCGTAGATTTGTTTATTTTCTCCGTTCATGATTATTTTCATTATCTTTGATTGCTTGCTGATTTGTAAATTGTGCTTGTTAGCCTCAAAATCCGACGAGAGACGGTGAGAAAAGAAAGAGTGAAACTGTGATACATGGTTATTGTTCTTGTTCGTCGGAGAGGTAGAGAGTGATGATGGCCGATACGATGAGAGTAGATGAACCGTAAGATCGAGAACCAAAAGGTTGTTGTTTGTTGTTCCGAATAGAGGAAACACAGAGTAATCAATTTTGAAACAGGGGACTCGTGAGTTTTTCTTTAGAAAAGAGGCGCTAGCCTCATCTTTTGTTAGGGTTTATTCAACCCATCAACTTTTAGGGGCTAGACCTGGGTCTGATCCGACCCGGCACGTTTTAAGCCCAACATTATTTTATTATTTATTATTTATTATTTTATTATTTCTTTTTTTGTTTTGATTGTTTATTGAATCTAGACCTTGCTGTTTTTATAGTTTTATAGCCCAATCCGAGTTAACTATTTCCACTCTATGTTTCTGTTTTCACATTTTTTTATATATAATTATTAGAATGATATTTTAGTTTATAATCCTTTTATTAATTTTAAGTTAATGTAGAATTATTTTAGTAATTTTAGAAACCTTTTTAGTTAGTTTAGAACTATTTTGATAACTTTAGAATTTTAGTTTAGTTTAGACTTAATTAGTAATTTTAGAATTCTAATTTTAGGTTTTTTTTTAATTTAGTTTAGATTAATAATTTTAAAATTAATTTAATTTATTTTTAAATTAGTAATTTTATAATTAATTTACTTTAGATGTAATTTAGTAACTTTAAAATTAATTTAGTTTAGATAACTTTTATTACATCTCATTTTTATCCATAATTCTTTTTCTTTGTCTCTTTAATTAATTTCTTATTATTTATTTTGTTATTGTTCCTTTGCTTTATTTAAATTTATTTCCTTGTGATTTTCCTTTTGTATGTTAGTTAATTTTGTGATAATTTTTTTCAATTTAGTTCATTTTTATTTCTATAGTATACCTTATTTTCTGTTTGTCTACTCCAAGAGAAAGAATCAAATTTGTTGACTTCATGTCATCGAATATATCTAATATGATTGTGCGAAACTCCTTTATACATTTTTTTTAGTTTTGTTAATCTTAAGAAAAATCTTCTAAAAAACTCAATTTTCAAACTTACACTCATTTAAGCTAAAACATTGACACTAAGTGGTCGCATCTTCAAAATCTCATCCCCACACTCATTTAGCAAACAAACCAATTTTAACCAAAAAAACAGATATTTCAAAAGGTTCCTATAGGATACTATAGATACATATGGTTCTAGTACCTTCCCTTTGTATAACCAACCCCTGAACCTTCGATCTCTTTCAAATGCATTGTATTTTTCTTTACCTTTTAGTGTTGCACTTAATTTGCATATTTATGGGTTTTATTTCGCACTTTCCTCTTTTCCCTTGGAAATAATAAAGTGTGGTGGCGACTCTTGCTTATTTGCGAGTCAAGTTAATTAATAGCTTGATCTCCGATTTTTTAACCACTACAGAATTAGCGACTCTGCTGGGGAATTAGAAATACTCTAAGTGGATTAAACCTAATTTGTTATATCTGTTTTTGTTATTATTACTTGTGTGCTTATATTTGTTATATTTGTTTTCGTTATTATTTCTTGTGTGCTTATATGTGTTATTTTGTGGTTTCTTTGGGTGTTGATTACAATGGACAAGTCATATACCCAAGTACACTTAAGATAGGACGAGCGGTATAGTCATGTTAACTTTGAGGGAGTAATCCCGAAAAAGGATACATGAGATCCCCTACTCAGTAGAGGCCCCTTTGATCATATTATTTGTTTACCGAGTAATCAAGAAGACATTGGTGCTTTCGACCTGCGAGCCAGAGAAGATGAGAGTCTTAGAACCCTTAATCCACCTTGGCCTTTTTAGATGTAGTGCGGAGACTATGACGGAGTAATCCGAAAGTAGTTGTCACGCGATGTTGCACTCAGACGAGTTTTTCCTGCGAATATTACTAATTACCAAGTAATTGGGATGTTGGTAATATCCAAAGGAAGAGCATAGACTTTGAAATTTCCTTAGAACCTTGTTCGGTAGGTGATAAACCCTTAGTACATACCTTGTGGGTTGATTCTCACCCTTTGATTCCATGCTCGTGAAGTTAAACCTTTGAACATTGTATGTGTTTGTTGCATAGTCGTACATTCATGCATTCATAAACATCATGACATGCTTGTGACATACATGGTCGTTTTATTTCTAGGGAACCTTATCTTTGATTCTCGTATCAAGCTCATTACTCATAAATGGACACTAGAAAGAGGAGTACCATCAGTTACAATGTTTAGATGCCAGTTCAAGTTGAGGTCACGAAGTCTGAAGATGAAGATCGAGAAGAAGATTTTTACGTCCTTCAGCTTCAAGAAGAGATTGATCATCTGGAAAGCATTATCAATAAAAGAGATGTACTTATCAAGGAGCTAATTGAGATACAAAAGAGCGAAGCAATGAAGGATATCTTTAAAAGGGCCTAAAAGTGGAGTAATGAGAATCTAGTTTGGGGTACCCTTGCTGATGTACAGTTCGGGGAAACATCTTAGGGTTTATGATTTGTATTTTTGATGATCACCATCAGGTCTGTTAATTGGGATCTCTTGGCTTTGTATTTCTCGCTTGAAGCTTGAATTTAAATTTCAGATCCAAAGAAATGAGTTGAACTCGCCATTCGCATTTATCATGCATCATTATACATTTTTGTTTCACTTTCGAAAGTCATTCCCGAGTCTTATTTCCCTTTGGGCTCGTAGTATAACATTCGTGCTAAGAGAAGATGGAAAATCTAGAACAAGAGAATCGCGAGCTGCGCAAAGAAGTTACAACCTTGAGAGCCGGTATTTCCAATTTGACTGCTTTGGTGGAATCGTTGGTGGTTGCTCAGAATCAGCCACCACCTTCTCCGAATCACCAGAGTCAACCAAGCCATAAAACTGTGGGAATATAATAGGTTCTTAACCGCGATATTAATTACCATGGAAAGAAAGATCAAGGGTAAAAAGAAAAGGTGCATGCATACATAGAGCATCAGTGTCGGTCAACACGAGCGAAAGAAAACGCGGGGATTCGATTGAAGGAACCCTTTTCACTTGCCTTAAAAGGGCTTAAACTCATTTGGATCTTGGGCACGTGTTCAGAGCATCTACTCGCAAAATAAATGGCCTCCTAGTAAGGACTTCCAGAATTTCCTGCCAAGTGGCACAAACTCCCAATCCTAAGTAAGCATTAAAATGCGGGAAGAGTAAATCGGATGAGAAAGTATCGAACGAATATAAATCCGCAATAAAGAAACAAAATAGTAACGAAACCCATAGATCTTCTAACAAGCTAGCATCAATAAATAAACAAGTTAGAAGTCGTGTCGTCAGACATAAACATCAAGGCCTTAATGTGAAAATAACTCATAAGCAGTGTATATCAAATACAAACACACAAATGTTCTGCAAGGCAATACAAACGAACAAAGCACACAATAGTGAAGTTGTATCCCACAAATAAAGTGGAACACAAAGCAATGAAAGCTCATGAAATACCTTGCACAACTTAACATAACAATTAGTATTAATAAGGAAATGTGTTGTACCCCAAAATTTTCCATCCCATTTTCACACAAGACATACTCCTAGAGGTCCTCAATGGCTCAAGTTGACTAAGGATTGACCAGACAAATCCTCCTCTTAAGACAATAAGCCTCAAACTAGGGTTTTAACTCCTCATCAAGATGTTTGAGTTCCAAGGGTCCCAAATGGTATCCATTGCCCTAATATGTACTCAAAATCACCCATTCCAAGTTTCGTGCCTTGCACAATAAGTTTGCTTAGTCAACTGCTCAAAAGCCTGAAAATCAACTGTGCTAGGTCAAAAGTCAATTGTGGCCCAAATAGAGTCAAACTTCAAGATTTTTGGTCAACATCAATATTTTGAAGTATTATCCACACTTTATCAAGGATTGATCATGATTCCTCAATAAATGCTCCTAACGCGTCAAAAGTTAAAAATGGCAATTTAGGGTTTCTATAAGAAAAGTCAACCAAACATTGACCAGGCATAACTTTCTCATACTTTATCAGAAACTTTCCAACCAAGGATCATTTTAAATAGAATCCAATTCCCTACATCTCCTCTTAAGCCCTCAAGGTCAAGAAATGCCTCAATCAAAAGATACAAGTTCATGCATTATAGGTGATTTCAAAAAGTCAACAAAAACACCTTTTGGGTCAAAGCTCCTTACATGAACATGGAAGATCCAATCAAGATGAGACCAAAGGGGTTGTTTAGAAGACATCCTAAGCTTTCTAAAAAGTCCAAGGACACCCTCTTAGGGTTAAAATTGAGAGAGATATGCATTGTCAAAGTTGGCCATTTTTGGAAATTTGCATAAAGTCAACAATGCCCAAATTTGCATTTTTTTTTCCAAATGGGCCTAACTTTTTATACTTGAAACACATTCCTAGCCTGGTCCACGACCCAAACACCTTTCCATGCATCATTGGCTTTATTTATTTAACTTATTTTGATTTTAATCCTTTAAAAATTAAGTTAAATCAAATAAATGATATAAAAATAATGAAGATTTGTTTTGATTTGATTTTGCATTGAATTACAATCCAAATATGCTATATAACACAAAGAGAAATCGTGCAAGATTGAAAAGAGAGGAAATCTCCACATATGGAAAGATTGGAAGCAAAATTGAAAAGGCGTTATTTGTTAGATTCTTACCATACATAGTGACCTAATTTGATTCACATATTTATACACAAGCATTCTCAACCCTAAGGACAAGTTTTTACACACGCAGCAGCCACAAAGAGAGCCATACAAAAGTGAAAAAAAATCACAAAGAATCGTGAGGATTGAAAGCTTCAAGTCCAGCCTTTGTTGGTCCAAACTAAGGAGTCATTCTTCCTCCTGAGATTCCCAGGAGCTTGTTTGAACCATTATCCAAGCCAAAACGTGCCAAGAAGCTCTCTTCCAAGCATCAACGGATTGGTATATTTTTGCAAATTCAAACTTTTTTATCTTGCAATATAAATGATTTATTTGTATGTACGCGTGTTCATGCTAACATTTGTGACTATCTAGAACCATTACATTAGAGATTTAACGCATGGATGAAGGTTTTCCATTGTTAGAGCAAAGCTTCAACCAAGCATCGTATCTCAAGATACAAGGACTTTCTGACAAAATAAACCCCACCATTGGAATCGTAAGGTCCTAATTAGTCTAGTAGGG